TGTAAACCATTGGAACGTATTGTTGGATTTATACCTCGTTGAATTGATGCCGGCTGGGCTTTTGTTTATGTTATTTGGTTATTTTGGATTTTTGGGTTGTTACATTTAATCAGTTAAATTATTAATCTTCTTCGCTTACACTCATGTCTTCTAGTTTACATGTAAAAAAAAAATCTTATTGCAATCAATATACATAAATGAAATACTTATAACGAGTGAATACAATATAAACAAATAACCGTTATCGTCAATTATTATTACATGATACCCTTTGTTTTTTATACATGTATATAATCGTTGTCATTAATTATTATCTGCATAAGACTCATTATATATTTTTCTGATATTATTAACATGATCATTATCGGTTACTAAATGATCAGTCACATGAGCTTCAATCATTTTTTTGCATACCATATATGTTGATTTTACATAAAATGATTAAAACATTTTTTTGGATTCTTTACCGTGTAAACTAATTTCGACCAATAGAAAAATTCCATTTTTTTAATTAAATTTAATCAATAAAGGTATTTCGGTCATTTACAATATTTTCTATTAAATATGAAAATTATTAATAAATCTTAATTAAGGAAACGTAATAAAGAAAACTTTATAAATGATAACATTTAAATATTTAATTATATTATAATATTAAAAATGTGAACTTGATATATTGTGATTCGATTGAATCTGTTGATCAATCTTGAAGATTGTAAGACATAATGGAATGAATTCATCAAATCAGGATTGAAATAAAAAATTAATGTACATGAAACAGGTTTCATGAAGGTGAAACTGGTTCATGTCGTAATTGAACAATGAGTAGTGAACTGGTTTCATGGTGAACCCCGTTTCATTGATGGTGTAGTTGATCTATTTAGTAGGTGAAATGAAAAATGAAGCGGGTGCATAATGTATTTGGTTCGTTATGAAATAACTGCATGATGAAACGGGTACATGATGAATCTGCTCCAGAATCTTGAAGATTATAAGGCTTAAATGAATGAATTCATCAAATCAGGAGTGAAATAAGAAAACTAATTTACATGAAACATGTTTCATGAAGGTGAAACTGGTTCATGGCGTAATTGAACAATGAGTAGTAAAACGGGTGCATAATGTATTTGTTTCGTCATGAAATAATTGCATGATGAAACGGGTACATGATGTATCTGCTCTAGACACTTGAAGATTGTAAGACTTAAAAGAATAAATTCATCAAATCAGGAGTGAAATAAAAAAATTAAAATGTACATGAAACATATTTCATGAAGGTGAAATGGTTCATGGGATGTTAGAGAATATGTATTTTGTTTACAATTTTTCCCTTATTGTTGATATAAAAATAAATTTTTAATATTTTTTATTTTAATTTCCTAAAATAAACTAAATAATCTTGATCATCAATCAAGAAAATGGATGGATGAGATTGATTTACACGGTTTACACAAATGAAGGCGATTTTCATTTGATCGTCTCTATCTCTCTCTCTCTCTCTCTCTCTCTCTCTCTATATATATATATATATATATAGGTTGGTTATTATACAACCCTTGACATATGTGCAACCAATACAACTCAATCTCAACCGTCAATTTTATTTGATTAATATGTTATTTCAAAGAAGTTTTGATTGTTTCCTAATATAAAGTATTGATCATAATTAATGAACCATATTCATCTTCCATAAATATTCAAATCACAATAAATGAACTCTTATCATTTCCATAAATATTCAAATCATAATAAATGAACTCTTATCATTTCCATAAATATCTCAATTTATTGGGTTGCATTGGTTGTACAAATGCGATGGGTTGTATTTGAAACAAACTATATATA